CATATGTACATAGGTACATATGTACATATATGTGTGTGTGTGTGTGCATATGTACATAGGTACATATGTACATATATGTGTGTGTGTGTGTGCATATGTACATAGGTACATATGTACATATATGTGTGTGTGTGTGTGCATATGTACATAGGTACATATGTACATATATGTGTGTGTGTGTGTGTGTGTGGTGTGTGTGTGTGTGTGCATATGTACATAGGTACATATGTACATATATGTGTGTGTGTGTGTTGTGTGTGTGTGTGTTGTGTGTGTGTGTGTTGTGTGTGTGTGTGTTGTGTGTGTGTGTGTGCATATGTACATAGGTACATATGTACATATATGTGTGTGTGTGTGTGCATATGTACATAGGTACATATGTACATATATGTGTGTGTGTGTGTGCATATGTACATAGGTACATATGTACATATATGTGTGTGTGTGTGTGTGTGCATATGTACATAGGTACATATGTACATATATGTGTGTGTGTGTGTGCATATGTACATAGGTACATATGTACATATATGTGTGTGTGTGTGTGTGCATATGTACATAGGTACATATGTACATATATGTGTGTGTGTGTGTGCATATGTACATAGGTACATATGTACATATATGTGTGTGTGTGTGTGTGCATATGTACATAGGTACATATGTACATATATGTGTGTGTGTGTGTGCATATGTACATAGGTACATATGTACATATATGTGTGTGTGTGTGTGCATATGTACATAGGTACATATGTACATATATGTGTGTGTGTGTGTGTGCATATGTACATAGGTACATATGTACATATATGTGTGTGTGTGTGTGCATATGTACATAGGTACATATGTACATATAAGTAGACCTTGTGACCTTACCTGATTTCACCTTTCCTTGAATTGGCGGGAAAAATGGGCAAGACAGGCAGCATTTGTAATTGGCTCATTGGTGACCTAATACAAGTGTAGCCATCTATGTGTAAAAACAATTAATAAAGTAAACTCATGTACATACATGCCATGCCCAGCAGCATTGCGTTAATAGATTTTTAAAGTTAAGCCAAACTGATTATGAATTAAACTATTGATACCTGTCACTCTAGGAGCTGCGTTTAATGCTGAATGAGATTGCTGATCAGTATGAGGAGCAAAGGGCCCTCCAGAAGGCCACTGAAGACATAGAATGTAATAAAGGGAAAACAAAAGAAGGCTCATCAATAAAGATTGGGTAAGTCAGTATGTTATTTTGAACATACAAAATTGATAGACATTAAATTATAATCAAGGGAGAAAAAGTTAGATAGATGTCCCTCCTCCCTATCTCTCTCTCTCTCTCTCTCTCTCTCTCTCTCTCTCTCTCTCTCCTTTTTTTTTTTCTTTTTTTTTTCTGTATTTTCTTTCTTTACTTTTCTTATCATTTGAGAGACCATACATATGAAGCTTTCCTGGTCAAAGCGTTGCATTGTTTGTGAAAAAGAAATAGGAGGAGGAAATTGCATCAAGATTTATTCTTGTTTGGAAAATAATATAATTACCTTTATTTCAGGTACATGTTCACCGCATATCGAAAGTGTTCTTGCGTTTATTTGACACCTAGAGATTCAAACACTGGTCTGATGATGAGGACGAGGATGGTGAATTACGAGACAGAGGTAAGTGCATCGAGGGCTAAAGAAATATAATACATAGTTTCTAATTTCATTACTTTGCTGGCAGTGTAACATGCAAGAAAAATGTAATGAAAGTCTAGAGTTATAGAAAGAAACATTTGTGTGTGTGTATGTTTCAGTGTGTTTTTGTGTTTTACTCTTTGTGCGTGCTTGTACTTGTGTTTGTAATTGGACATTTACATTGATATTTTTGATAATTTTTATGTAGAAGTGATATATATTTGTTTATTGGTGAGTAGTATTTAAGATAATTGATGAATTAATTGATATGTTTGACCTTTATACTACATTTAGAGAAAAGGTAGTTAGAAGATTTATTCATAAATATGTAAGATGAAAAAATCAAAGGAACAGATAAGAATATAAAATAAGAGAACTGATAAGTGTACATTACATAACAAATGATAAATATGATACTGTTTCTTAACAGGTGGAAGATACCAACACTTTTTACCTTGTGGCGAGATGTTGGTAGTGAGTGTTGCTCTCCAAGAGAATCAGCCCCTCAGTCAGCCTAAGGAGAGCCAATATAAGGATGTAGATTTGCAGGGCTTGAGTGGATCCCAGGCGGAGGGAAGGACGTCTTTCATGAGCCCAGCACGAACAGATCGCCAGCTCCTGAGAGCCTTGGATAGCTCTATAGTCTTTACCAATACCATCTCCGACTATTTTGAAAGCAGCCAGAAAAAAACGGATTCTCAAGTTTTGTCTGTGCAGTCTGAAAGCACATCAGAAGACACTCTTAAAGACAAGCAGTCAGTGCTAAAAAATATGTGAGTTTGGGTACATGAAACCTTCACAGTGTGTTGTTGGTATCTAGATGCTTAGTTTAATTTTGTAGCAAGTGTTTATTTTTTTGTGGTTAATCCATATTATTTTTAAAATCTGTTATTGGATGCTCATGTTGTTACTATTATGTTATATAATCTTTCACTTGTTTAATTCTTAGTTAGTTTCCTTCTCTCTCTCTCTCTCTCTCTCTCTCCTTTTTTTTTTTCTTTTTTTTTTCTTATTTTCTTCTTTACTTTTCTTATCATTTAGAGACCATCATATGAAAGCTTCCTGGTCAAAGCTTTGCATTGTTTGTGAAAAAGAAATAGAGGAGGAAAATTGCATCATATTTATTCTTGTTTTTGAAAATAATATAATTACTTTATTTCAGGTACATGTTCACCGCATATCGAAAGTGTTCTTGCGTTTATTTGACACCTAGAGATTCAAACACTTGGTCTGATGATGAGGACGAGGATGGTGAATTACGAGACAGAGGTAAAGTGCAATCGAGGGCTAAAGAAATATAATACATAGTTTCTAATTTCATTACTTTGCTGGCAGTGTAACATGCAAGAAAAATGTAATGAAAGTCTAGAGTTATAGGAAGAAACATTTGTGTGTGTGTGTGTGTATGATTCAGTGTGTCTTTGTGTTTTACTCTTTGTGCGTGCTTGTACTTGTGTTTGTAATTGGACATTTACATTGATATTTTTGATAATTTTTATGTAGAAGTGATATATATTTGTTTATTGGTGAGTAGTATTTAAGATAATTGAGGAATTAATTGATATGTTTGACCTTTATACTACATTTAGAGAAAAGGTAGTTAGAAGATTTATTCATAAATATGTAAGATGAAAAAATCAAAGGAACAGATAAGAATATAAAATAAGAGAACTGATAAGTGTACATTACATAACAAATGATAAATATGATACTGTTTCTTAACAGGTGGAAGATACCAACACTTTTTACCTTGTGGCGAGATGTTGGTAGTGAGTGTTGCTCTCCAAGAGAATCAGCCCCTCAGTCAGCCTAAGGAGAGCCAATATAAGGATGTAGATTTGCAGGGCTTGAGTGGATCCCAGGCGGAGGGAAGGACGTCTTTCATGAGCCCAGCACGAACAGATCGCCAGCTCCTGAGAGCCTTGGATAGCTCTATAGTCTTTACCAATACCATCTCCGACTATTTTGAAAGCAGCCAGAAAAAAACGGATTCTCAAGTTTTCGTCTGTGCAGTCTGAAAGCACATCAGAAGACACTCTTAAAGACAAGCAGTCAGTGCTAAAAAATATGTGAGTTTGGGTACATGAAACCTTCACAGTGTGTTGTTGGTATCTAGATGCTTTAATTTTGTAGCAAGTGTTTATTTTTTTGTGGTTAATCCATATTATTTTTAAAATCTGTTATTGGATGCTCATGTTGTTACTATTATGTTATATAATCTTTCACTTGTTTAATTCTTAGTTAGTTTCCTTCTCCCTTTCCCTCTCTCTCTCTCTCTCTCTCTCTCTCTCTCTCTCTCTCTCTCTCTCTCTCTCTCTCTCTCTCTCTCTCTCTCTCTCTCTCTCTCTCTCTCTCTCTCTCTCACTCCCCCTCCCTCCCTCTCTCCCTCTCCCTCTCCCTCCCTATCCTTATCCTTATCCCTATCCCTCTCCCTGGATTTCATGCTAGCAGTTTTTGGTGCTTTATCATCACTATTTCTCTTACTGTCTTTTATCATCCTAGGGCTTACAAATCGAGAATGAAACACGGCAAGAGGAAAATTGGAAGCTCATCTACCAGCACTCATTCCAGTTCAGAAAATGAATTTCCAAACAAGAGGCAAGTCACCAAATCGATTTTTGATACAGATAGCAATTTTTCTAATGACACATCTCCACTAGGACATGATACTGCAAACTTTGACTATATATTTACTGAAGAATTTGCCCAATGTGAATTTCTTCCTGCTGTGGAGGAAAATTCTGATAATATCTTGAAAATAATCAAGGAATTGGAGCATTCTTTACACACAAATAACAGTGCTGTGTATTCAGATAGCAACCTTTTGCATAAAACTCAGGATAAATCACAAGTCTCAAGCCTAAAGTCATCTGTATTTGTACAGAATGATCATGGTGTTAAAGCATCAACAGACAAAGCCAAATCACCCTGTAAGAATGTAAATGATGATCATACTAAATCAACTCTTACAAAAGATATTTCATGTACTGGAGATGAAAAGGAACATTATAGTCTTCAGTCTCCAGCTGGAAACACTAGACAAACTTCAACTAACAAGTCTTGCAGCCCAGTCCTTAAACGGCGATCAAAGAATCACACATTATCATATTTTTTGCAGGTACCTACAGATCTAAGTGAAAGCAAGCACGAGGATCTTTGCTTAAAAAGAAATGTGGCCACAGAAAAAGGAAAAGAAACCTCTCCTAGTTGCATGGACAAGTGTGACACTTCAGATTTGTTTTCACCTGACAGTATCTTCACCCATGATGTTTCCTGTAAAAGTGCAGAAGATTTTCAAATAATGGTGAAACCAGAGCATAGAAAAAGGGA